AAGTGTTAAATTTGTGTACATGAAAATTTAGGTATGAGATCTAAATACATAAATTTTCCCATCATTTTTGCATGTTATTATATATAAAAAAATAATAATTAGACGGTATAGATTGTAATTGTAACTTTTAAGATGTCACTTGCATATAGATATTATTATTTTGGAAACTAAATTAAATGTCATTTTGATCAATATAATTCCATGAAATGGCGTTACGATATTTCTGACTCCTAAACCCGTTAAAAGAAAAACCTAAACCTGGAAATGAAGATTCAGCAAAAACTTTTATGAAGAATTATTTGACAGTATGCTGCTAGGCGCTTTCATCACCTGGAAGACCTACATATCTACAGACTACCGATTTTCCTCCATGAAAAGAGAAGCTTCAGCCCACAAAGGCTTGCAAACCGTAAAAAGGCACAACAAACAAGGAGAAGCAGTCTACAAGTGGGGGTCAATTATTTCACCTGAGTGCTAGACATGGATAGCTCTACATAGCAGTTGTGCAAGTTTGTTTGTAGTGCCCGTATGCTCTGCACTTGCTACATCGAACTGCTCTCTTACTGGTAATGCGAGGCTCCAATGGCTTCCTTTTTGGCCTGCCCGGCAACCGCTTCGCTCGGAAAGGAACCGCACATACAGAATGAAGTGGGTCAGCTATTGGATTAATGGAAAGCATGTAAGCCTGACGGTAGCAGTCTACAGTGAAGTATTTGGAGCAGAAATCATATATACACCAACCGGATCGCTCGATGACTGCCAGGGCATGAGGGCATGGCAAACCGTTGACCTGCCACCTCCGGCATGTACATTCCCAAATTTCCATATTAACAATATTTGTCGTCTCATCTTTCACCTCGAAGATGCTGCCTGTTGGGCATATGACATTGAAATTTTGTGTTTTGGACAGCTCTTCTTCAACCTTTCGACTCCTGGATGGTGTTAGAACCATCTCAGTCCAGGTGTTTGAGGTTTCATGCCGTTTATATATAAGTTCCATTATTTTGCAGCGGATCATGTCAATCATCTGCAGCACTGAAGACTCTTGTCTTGAAGATATCCACTCATTGAATATTTGTGCAGCAGATGATGAGTAGTGGCCGTATCTCATACCTTTAAAGGAAGCATCAGACCAGAGCTCTGGGTTCTTTGACATAACCCACTCTGCTAGTTCTGGTGATGCAGCCTTTATGATCTCTATGCACTGGTTGAACTCATCAATC